TCCAAATTCAAACTCCATTCATCAACTGTGCATCTTCAGCAGCTGTACCTACACAGAACACATAATCGAACCGGCTCTAAGAAGCACATATCGTTTGTTTTAGCTGGCGCTAAAAAAGTTAGACGGGTTTTTGTTTTTTTCGTACTCTTTCGAACGAATCCAGAGAAGTTTGCGTTTTGCTTCAACAGCTTTGAATGGAACCGGTTTTTTTGCTTAACTCTTTCGATTTGTTTGGTTTTCTGGTACTGCAGTTTCACTGGTTTGAGATGCACAACGAATTAATCATCTGTTTTTTGAAAAAAAAAATAATCCACGTCAGGACGGGGTAAATTGGAATTTAAGGGGAAAAGAAAAAATTTCTCATAGCAACCCAGTTTTGCAACACATACCGCTGAGAGCTGAAAATCATAGTTTCTGCTAGGTAAAATTCCCTCATTACGGTCTGTGAGTGGCAACTTTCAAAAAAATGTGTAATGATGCTCGATACGTACACCTCAAAATGGTTAAAGCCTTGGTAAAGTACTCCATTCGAAAAAACTGATCAGTTGGTGACATCTTCAGGAGACGAAACAAACGTCAAGGTTACCAAAAAAAAAAAAATGACCGTCAGGCGATCCAACACTGGTCAAAACAACTGTAAAAGTTGCCAGATGAATAGCTGGAGAACCAATGCTAATGAATTGTAATTGATCAGAGTACCAGAGCATAAAATATGATTAAACCGATACTTTTTTTTTGCATTCGTCAAACAGTGTTTGAATAGATGAAACTCACTGCCGGACATTGCCGGGACTCCTCGAACTGCTGGCGCGAATTTTCGAAGTTCCTAAAATTTTACTTAAAAAAAAAAACGCTACCAAAAAATGTCACTCAGTAACTCTGAGTTACACGTCTTCGGCTTGCATCGAATACGAAGGGTTTTTGACTTTTGAACTATTATGTTCTCAGTTGTTTTTTTTTTTTTTATTTAAAGCTAGAAATTTCCAGGTTTTTGCATGGCAGATACTACGAGAATCAGTAACTGATCAAGAGCTACGGAATGTTAACATTTCGCTGCGCACATTTCATGGTGAAACCGCCGAACATCTACTTTCTCGTCAACCACCCAAGGTTTTAAATTCGTATAGTCTTTACGTATAACTAGTACCA